TGGGACCAAAATGTGGGCAACAAGACTGCTGTGCTTCAACGTTCCTTCTTCAAAGGCTTTCTACTGAGAAACTTACTATCTGATTGCCCCCTTGTGTTCCCAGGGATTAAGAAAAATAGTATTTTACAATATTTTTGTGTTGTACGTGCACACCTGCACACACAGCTTGTAAATTGTGTTAAATACACAGTTTATAAGGTATTCTTTACTCTCCCCGTACACAGTTGGATTCTTTCTTTAGCTGGAAGGTAACAAAAAGTACAAAAACATGTGGCACCATCATTCAAGTTCTTGAACTTTACTTAAAAAGGATTTCTAACAATTCCACATGATAGGATGCTGTAAGTAAGACCAGGAAGCTTACTAAATGTTTCATATCTTGATTTTATTTTGTGTAGTCTCTTCTTTCAGGATTTTTTTAGAATTTCTTTCTTTACTACTTTTCTCCTTTTAGGTATTTTTTCTTTTTCATCTTAAGTTGATAAATATATGTATTCTGCAGTGACTACACAAAAGGTTTTTCCTCTCTGGCTTCTTTTTCACACGGTTTAGTAAAAGCTTCTACTTGTGTTCCTTTGGTCTCAGCTGCATGACAGCAGCCTTCAAGATGCTTTTTCTGATACCAAATTACTGAATTTTGTACCTTAAGGCAGTAATCACAGTATACTGGTGTTCGCAGATGTGCTCAGCTGGCTGTTCTCCAAAACTGTTACCAGAATCTTCTGCTGTTGCTGCAACTTGCATGACACGTTTTGAAATGCTGGTGGCATCTCCATCTCAGTTCTGGCTTAACTATGACATTCTTTCCTATTATTTGGTTTTCTTCATGTTCTTTTGTTTGTTGTTGTTTGTTTGGGGTTTTTGGTGATTTCTTCTGCATCGGGTTTGTTTTTTTATTTGCCTTTCTTGATACATCTGTGTATGTGCCACTTCCTGAACTCATTTGAGAAGCAGCTCAGGATAGTGTGCAGTAGTGTTGTTTACACCTCCTCATACTCAGCATAATGTCCCTGTTGTAGATTAGAGGGAATTAAAGGCTGCAGTAGTTTCTGGAAACCCTTGAAAGCCATTTCAGCACTTGAAAATGACTGTGAGATGGAGCCACTCTGGTAATACCCTTCTTCCTTGGTCAGATCGACTTCAAAAGATTGGCTTCCCTTAGACAGGCTTTGAGACATCTTAAATAAGATCTGGCCCTGAAATGCCAGCTACATTATCTGAAGAGTGTCCTATATAGTTTTGGACAGAGAGGGCTCTAAGAGATCTAGGAGAAAGTTATTGTTGCATTATTAAATCACATGACCTGTGTTTTATCATATTTTGCCAGCTAATTATTTCTTTCTGGTTTTACCCCATTTTTTGAAGTGTTATGTGTCCATAACCCCTAGGTGGAAGAAAAGCTGCTGTACTCTGTGCATTGCTGACAGACCTCTCCCTCCCTGCTAGCTGGAGTAAGCAAGAAAGTATTTGATTCATTGGCATGGCACCTCTCCAGTCACCCTGCTGCACTCTGAGACACATAAGGAGTCTGCCTTGCTGAGAATTTAGTGTGGGGATCTATTAAAGTTTTTCAGCTATCAGGATCTGAATTCTGAATTGACAAAAGTCTGAGGTACAAGGCATAAATGTCCGAGTCTGCAGCATGTGTAGAATTTGTTTTTTGTCTTTGGAAGACAAGAACTACACTGACCGATTCAAAATCCATGACAACTGTTTTTGATTTAGTGCCCATATTTTGAACTCTGTACATTTTGTGATGAAAATATCAGTATCATTTGCCAAAATATCATTAAGAAAAGGGGAATAAAAAGTTCTCAAAAAATCAAGGAGAAAGAGCCACTGGTCACAATAAATGAAGTTCACAGTGGTTCCTCTCTAAGGCGTGGTCATTTTAGCAACTTTTAATAATGAATTAAAACTAGACTGGAGACTAAATGTCAGTTGTTCTTATCCATTACAAAGGATGTAGCAAAACAACACATGAGAAATGTGCCCCCTGCTTGAATTCCTGTCTTTCAGAATTCCTGGTGCTTAATAATGTGTATGCATGTGGGACTTGAAAAAATTGCTCCAATGTAGTGAGAAGTTGTTCATATGTACTATTTTCATTAAAACATTTGATAGTATTTCTTTGTTGTCTTGGTAGGTAACTAGAACTTTTGGTGGACCAATATGACATTGGTGATGGAGAAGGAGAGGTTTACTAACTGGCAAAAATTGAAAATATTTAAGATTTTCTTTTTAGTGGTAGAATTTTTGTGGTAAACCTAAGTACTAAATTTGGCCCAAACAGCATAAACTTTTTTAAAATTGTCCCTGAACTTCAGTATCTCACAATTTTCTGCAATGCTACATAGACCTTTATTGGTACTTATATTCATCAAAACATTAGTTGTGCTTCCCAGTTGTTTATGTATTTTCCTGGCTGTAGAACTGTGCAGTGTTTGTATCCATGGATCATAAAGAACCATAAGAACGCTGAAATTTACTAGATGAAGTTCTTTGCAATTCCACTTACATCACATTGCTTAAAGAATAGGAGGAGCTTTAAACACTTCCACAAATACATTTAAGGAGAATACATAGATGCATAAATATTTACAGTATATAAACTTTCTTGAAACACAGAGTTGTATCAGAGAGGCTTCTATAGTTGTTCCATGCAATATTAGTTCACAGCCTTATTAAAGTCAGTGAAGAATAGATGCACTGGCTCTCAAAGTCAGCTTTAATGCCTGCTGAAGAAACAATGGCTCAGAAAAACCTTTAGTTCATGACATACTCGATTTCACAAAAGAATCCTAGACTTGCTCTCTGAAGCTTTTATTAAGTCAATTTGAGATCTACCTAGATACAGACCTTCTCAAAAATCTGAAGCAGCTGCTGACCTCAGGGACACAGGAAACCAAAACAAACTCTTAGTTGTCAGGCATTAGAAACAATGCAAATCACATTTTGAAAAATGAAATTGCAACTTTCTACAAGCAAAGCTCTTTCTCCTCTTAATACAGTGGGCTATTTGTTTCAGGTTTTAAAATAAAAAGCTAACTCAATACAAAAAATAAGTTTTTAGGTATCTCTATAAACTGCATAGAGAGGTGAACCCCAAGG